AAATGGTCATAAATCACTTTTTTCAGTGCCATTGTAAATTTGAGCGGTCATTAAATAAATGGTGTAAGCCAACTACCTGTAAATTTGGCAGTGATGTGAACAAATTACATGCAGCCATATCCCATTCATACTTGCTCAGAAATAAATTCTGCTACATCTATCTGGCTTAATTCCAGATATGTCTATGCATCTTGACAGAAATCTAGTCCACGCATTATGCTAAGCCACGGTATGCTTAACTATATTTTATCAAAGAAACCAAGAGAGGCTGAATTCACCGGCTATAGATTAGGCTTGACGGTTCAGCAGGGGTCTTAGGACAGATTCAGACGGTACTCCCACCTGGTAACAAGTGAATCACGGTGGGAGCGATGCGTGGACCCAGCTAGTATTACGTGCAAGAGATGCGCCGCGGGACAGCAATGTCGATTTTGGTTTAGCCTTGCTCAGCCTGCGGACAAAAGTCGGCCAGCTTCCTCTCTCCAGGCCAGGCACCGCAAATGGAGCCCTTCCCGAGCAAGCTGCAAAGAACAGGCCCTCCCTCTCCTCCGCCGCCTCCTTTACCGTCTTTGCATAAGAATTGCCGCTCACCTTATCGCCTTCCATCGCAGCCCTTCACGGTCGCAGGTCGCAGCATAGCCGATGCCTACGAGGCTTCGGACTCGGAAAACTGCAGGCCGCCGCTGCGTTAGGAAACCTAGACAACTCTGTTGCTGTTTCGCCTGGCAACAAGTAGGTCAAAGCAAGATCATAGCCGATAGGTCGAGTCGAAACCGGGAGCCAATGGAATGAGCAAGAGGGGGACAAACGAGGTCGTCGACCGCAAAGGATTCGGGGAAATGAAGTAGTGACTCTTTCTAGGATGGTTTTTGGAACTTGAAGAGAAAAGGTGGAGAAATAAATTGCTAAAAATCCGAAAAGGAATGCTCAGATAGTTATTCGGTGGGGAGGGGGGGAAATGGATCCTTCTGGTGCTTATAGCAATAAGGCTTTTTTCATATATATTTTTGGACAAAATAACCATATCAAATACACAATTTGAACATAGTGTTATTCTTAATTGTAGGACTCTTATCACTGTCCGTTAATGTCTACAAAAAGAGCTTCTTTCAAAGTCTCTTGGGTGTAATTTCCCAGCTTCCGAAGTTTGGCTCCAACTCCAAATTTAGTATATTACTGTTATAAACACTGAAATCAATTCAATTGGAACTTGCTTAAGTGCTAACCCGTTGATTTAATGGATCTTGCATCATTAAAATCTAGTCCAGAGAACAAATAATTATCTTGAAAAGAACCCCAAAAGTCCAAAAATAACAAACCACTTTTTAACCTACTGTATGGTACAGAAGCAACCTTATTATCAGTTCACGTTTGAATAATTTTGTGTATAATAATTCCATAACTTTAACTAGGACAACTAATACAGGTTTTATTTTATTTATTGATGTATCAATAAACGGTGGAAACAGTGCACCTTACTCACAAAGTGACTTCATAAAACAAATCAGTTCAGAATTCTCACTTAAGATGGAAATTATTAGACTGAAATTTTGGACACATTACATGGTCCCAAATCTATATTGATGGAAAAGATGGAAGGAAAGACAATACCAGCAGCAAGGAAGATGGATGGACAGTGGTCTTGGGTATGCTAAGAATGTGGAAGAAGAGAACTATGAGAACACAAAGAGTCAAAAGCAACTTGAAGGCACATAATCAGTCCATCATTGTGAGCCCCAGATTTTACATTTCATAAAACAAGGGGTTGGGGAGGGGCTGCAGTCTGATACATTCCTTACATCTGATTCCCTGCCAGTTTTTTTTGCTGAAAATATTCTATTTACATTTTGTGCACAAAAACATTGTTAATCACAATCGCAAGGATAAAAGATGGAGACATCCTGTAGCAAGTACTTATGAGATAGTGGATTCAAATACAGCTGTCTGAACTGATACAGGAGGATTAAAAATTCCATTATAATGGGAACAATGGATTGTCATATTGCAAAGGAAAGAAATATTTGGTTTTACAAGTCATGATATTTAACTTTTTTTAAAAAGTCGTGTGGTGAATGCTAAAATTAGTAGCCATTGTGGCGCAGTGGTTTGAATGCTGTCTTGCAGGCAGACTCTACTCACTGCCAGGAGTTTGATCCTGACTGGCTGAAGGTTAATTCAGGCTTCCATCCTTCTGAGGTCAGTAAAATGAGGACACAGATTGTTGGGCACAATATGTTGACACAATATGTTTACAAACTGCTTAGAGAAGGCTGTAAAGCACCATGGAGCAGTATATAAGTCTAAGTGCTATGCCAGTGATGGCGAACCTTTTAGAGACCGAGTGCCCAAAATGCAATCTAAAACCCACTTATTTACTGCAAAGTGCTAGGGCCGCATCAGCATTGTGGTGCTCTCAGGGACAGCGGGGGGTGTGTGGCCACTGGGTGGGCATAGCTGTGGTGGTCACAGCTGTGGTGGTCACGTCAGATTGGGTGGGCATGGCTGGTGTGGGTGGGCTAGGACCAGGTTGGCGGGGACCAGTCCCTCGCCATCTCTGGGGCATCCCCAGGGGGCCAATGCTGCTTGCTCGATCACTTCCTGCCCCGTCACTTTCAAATGCCACATGGTCGTTATTCTGGTGAACTCTGCTGGGGCAACGGTGTGCGTGCCCACAGAGAGGGCTCTGAGTGCCACCTCTGGCACACGTGCCATAAGTTCGCCACCACTGTGCTATGCTATTGCTAGTGATGAAAAAAATATTGATTCAATAATCTGAGTTTTAATTTCTTCACTTGGAGCAAATTAAATGCCTAGGTTAGTTCTAAAAACATAATCCCATTTTCACTATTTTTATTTACTTGCAGTTATTACTTTGTTTTACAATGCATTTGTATAGATTTTGTTTTCTGAGAATCCTGCCAACAGTTAAATAAAACTTGACAGTGTGTTCAATAAAGCAATTGCTAACTAAGAGCATTTTTATTTTGCTTTATGAATACATGTGCTTTTTTATCTGTTTTTAAATTAATGTTAACACAGCTACTAAGAGATTATTTAAATCTAGATAGTAGTATTGAAAACAGTGTAATACACTATAAACTTCATACATCCATTATGTGACTTTCTTGCCATATAAATTACAAATTAATTAGTTTGTAAATTTATTTCCCTGCATCAAATTAATTATTTAGTATTATAAACCTCCAGGGAAGAGAATTGTTCTAAGTAAAGTCCAAGGATTAACATGAATAAAAATAAGTTGAAAAATGTAATTTGTATGCAGATCAACAATGGAATAAAGGATACATTAATTAATTAGATAACCATTTATCTGGGGATTCATTAAGCCTTTATAAATATTTTGAGTCCAATTTTCCTCAGCTGGTCCCCTCCAAATATGTGGAAAATATTTGCTTGCTGGCAGATCTGGGAATAGAAGTCTTAAGATATCAGGGTGGGTGGGTGTTCAAATAATGTGTGAATTTGCTTTCTTTTAAGTCACAGTTTATTTATCATAGTTTGTGATATAAATCAGAATAGCTGGAAAAGAACAAATTTAATAGTGTAAATTAAATTGATTGGCTTTGTACCCCAAACTAATTAAAAAAAACCACTGCTTACAGCCAATAATGATTGGCTCATGCAACCCTTCAAGAATAAAATATTCCTCAAATTGAATTGACTTTCTTGTAATCATATTTCTTGGAAATAACATTGAACTGATTTGCCAAAGCCTTATTTCCCATGCAACCAGTTATTGCTTATCTTTCTGAGATTAAGCAAAAATTGATAATTCTGCCACTTGTTGCAGGTTCACACTGTGTTGTGAAGCACATACCAATTAGTTATATTTTAGCCTATCATATTGTGTGGATTTTTTTACTGCATCCCCTGAAAGCAGAAAATCAGCTTAATTAATAAATTTATTGTGCAATTATAGCTAGGAAATCCCCATATTGGACAGAAATATTAGCAAGCCAAGAGGTTATGACAGGGAATAATAAGAACCACCAGGAGACGCACTTACTAGTTGCATTCATAAAAGCTCAATGATTTGGGGCCAGTTGTTCCTTCTCAAGTTAATCCTTTAAACGTTCATTTTTCACTTTTAATTTGTAAATTTTAACAATGTTCTGTTTTTAAGTGTGCATTTAATTATGTTTTATATTGTTTTATTTTGTTTATAAACTACCCATAGTCACTTATGTGAGATGGGCGGTGCAAAACTTTTGAGAGATAGATAAATATAATGAAGATAGGTATAATAAACAATCTCCTTTATAAGGCAGTTGTTCTGAGAGAAAAATAGATCTTGCATTACTTTTAGACATTCCAATTAAAATGATAATCCCCAAACGAATTACATTATATTTTAAACAAATATGTGGTGGATGAGAATCTACTTTTTTTAAACTTCACAATGGATGCCTATGCTCCCGCAATGGTGGATAAAATATAGGCAAGGGCTGGGCCAATGAGTTTCAAACCTGGAAAATTTAAGGTGTGTGGACTTCAACTCCCAGAATTCACCAGTCAAACCTACACCTCTTAAAAGTTGCCAAGTTTGAAAAACACTGGGCTGACCCAAGAGAATGGCCGTGTTGAGCAACAATCTAATCCCAATGCAAATAAACTTACATAACGCACAGGCTGCTTAGGGAAAGGCGGGAGGAAACTGTCCCAGGGAGGAATGCCTACCGTCCCGATCGTCCTAGAGATAAATTCTACGTGTCAGTTCCCCCCCTCTATCCTTGGTAGCCCCAGCCTCCCCTCTCCCTCATGAATGGTTCGCTCCGAGCCCGTCAACTCCGCCTCCCTCAGAACCCGGAAGCTCGTACCCGAAGGAGGGGCGAGATTCGGCCGTGGTTGTCCCTCAGCAACTGCGAGGCGGGAGCTGGGAGGAAAGGAGGGAGATGCGTGGAGACGCCTCCGCCAGCCCTGTCCGCGCCCTCCCTCGCTTCTCGTCCTTCGCCTGCGCTTCAGCGGCAGCCGCTCCACGGGAAGAGGCCGTAGCCGCGCGGAGAGTATGAGTGGCGCAGGGGCTCAGCCGCCCCCGGCCCCTGGGGCCAGCCCGGGAGGGTCCGGGGGCGATTCGGAGCTGCCTCCGTCTCCACCGTCGATGCTCAGCGTCGATTTGCCGGGGCTGTTGTCGCAATTCGCGCGGAGTTTCGCGCTGGTCTTTCCCATCTACCTGCTGGGCTATCTGGGGTTGAGCTTCAGCTGGGTTCTGGCCGCCTTGTTATGCTTCTTCTGGGTGCAGCGGCACCGGGGCGGAAAGAACTCCCGCCTGGGCCGGGCTCTCGCCTTCCTGCAAGACGAGGAGCGGGCGGTGCGACTCACCGTCTCCACGGGAGACCTTCCCGCCTGGGTGAGTGAAGGGGGGCTGCTGCTCCAGCGGCTGGCTTTCTCCGGTTCCCTGCGGCTTGTCTGTGGGGAGTGACCGGCTTCCCCGAGAGAAAGTGGATCCGGGTTTGAGCGATCCTGGAGGGCTACCCCGGCGTCTGCTCCCCCTAGCCACTTCGGGGATGGTTGGGGTCAGTCTTTCGGCAACGGTTGGGCCGGGCCATAGAAAAGCCAGCCCAGTTTGAGCCTCAAACCCAGAAAGTTGGGTTGATTGGCTAAAACGTGGTTCGGCTGACCCAGCAGAACAGCCCCGGTGCAGATACAGCCACGCTTTTCCTTCGGCTGGCTTCAACAGGCTGGTGGGGTTGCTGGGTAGTCATGCAAAGAGGGTGAAAGTTGCAGTCTTTCCCCACCTGTTGAATTCCTACATGTGTTGGAACTTATTTCCTGGGGGTTGAAAATTATGGCAGTCAAAGTTCAAGTGTCTGGAGGGTTTGCAATTAGGAAAAGCTGGTTGGAGTTAAGCTGATCCACCGCCCTGCTTTTATGGAAATGAATCTGTCTCTCTGAAAAAGTCTTTGCTGTCACCAACTGTTTCAAACCCCTGTGGATAGAAACCAGATTGGGTTGGGTGGTTTGGAGTTTTCTGGAGAAATAGCTAGGTGCTGTCTGGAGTTTCATTATTTTATGAGGTGTAAGGGGAAATGGATTTATGTATTCTTTTTCTCTTATGTCTATTAAAACAATCATTTAGATGATTGAAATAGTGCAGGGACCTGACCCACTATGATATATTTGATTGCATTTAGAAATGAGAGTCCCACCATGTGCTGTTACTCATGCTTTTTTTTTGGCAGTATCTATTTCCTTCCTGATAAATAATATTTCCTCTGGTTATCTTATTGTTTACAGATCAAATACAAAATGTTATTTCTTTTGAGTCCCTTAAGAGCACCAAGGCGCCCTTGAACTATTGCCTGATATGTCTCATAGGATGTGAAATTTGTCTTGGGGTCTTGAGATTTGTTTACACCCTATATAGTATACATTTGTAAGCCATCAAGAATCAGTTGGCTGAGATGGGCTACATAAATTGAATAAATAAATGCATGAATAATGTGTAAACGTTGCCCTGTTAGCCAACCATGCCAAAGAGATGTTGACTCTGAAGTTGTGGAGAAAGGAAATGGAAGTTATTTTTAAATGCACCACATTCTTCGGATGGCATCTGTTTGATCTCAGCTACCTGGCTGTTTATCTGCATATTAGCACGAGAGCGTAAGTTTTTGAATAACTGTTTTTATTCCAGATGAGAGGACTCTTCCTTTCTTCCTTCTTTTAGTATCTGCATGAAATGTGAGTAATTAGTGGGTGTGTCTTCCCTAACAGTCACTAGGAATTTTATTGTGTAAGAAAAAGTTCAAGAACTGCTTTTGTTTTTTTTAATATTAAAAGATTATAAAAGATTAATACAACTTCAGTATGACAAATGGGTTTGTTCATGCTATCTCTCATTAAAGGGTTGGGAATTGTTTAAGCAGTGTTTCTCAACCTTGACAATTTTAAGGCATGCGGACTTCAACTCACAGAATTCCATCTGCTGGCTGTGGAATTCTGGGAGTTGAAGTCCACATGCCTTAAAATTGTCAAGGTTGAGAAACACTGGTTTACAGTTAGGGGCAGCATGTTTTTTTTTAAAAAAAAAATGTTCAGTCATAGTGAACTAATGAAAGTCTCTAAGTGAAGCCCAATGAGACAAAATTCTAATGTTAAGAGCAGCTACTTTCTCTTTGAAACACATCTTGTCAAAAAAAGATATGAAGAAGATAGATTCAAAATGTGATAAGCAGCAGCAGATTATCTCTGTAAAGAAGGAGTGTCTGGCTGGCTTTGGATAGATATTCATGTTTTATATTTTACATGTGTATAAAGAGAGGGAAATAAAAATATTTGGTTAGCAGTTCTGGTTGAGAACAATAGTGATCATAGCCCCTCCATAAGAGGTCCTTGTGTCACTTCAAAATTGGTTCCAGAGCTCTGATTGGATGAGGTTGTTTTAAGAGCTGAGTCATTTTTTTGCTTTCATTGTGTTGATTGATTTGGAAGTAGAACAAAGCTAGTCTTTTTTCTTTTTCAATATTAGAATTTTATGAGTGGTACATATTCTCCTTGAATTGAGGTCTGGTCTCTATACCTATACCTCACAAAAAGCTTTCTAAGAAAAATCAAACATAAACCATAGATTTTATTTATTATTTATTTATTAGACTTATATACCACCCTTACTCCAGAGACTATCTAGATGGCTTACAGGCAATTAAAATTAAAACATTAAAGCAATAAGGATCATAAATTTAAAATTCATTTAAAATAAAACTAGACAGGATGGCGAGGGAGGGAGCAAAGGGCAGATAGGAAGGAGGCAAGGTGTTACTTACAGGTAGTTCTCGATTTATGACCACAGTTGAGCCCAACATTTCTTTTGGTAAATGAGACATTTGTTAAGTGAATTTAATCCCATTTGACAACCTTTCTTGCCACAGTTAAGTGTATCTGGCTTTCCCACTGATTTTGCTTGTTAGAAGGTTGCCTAAGGTGATCACATGACCTGCAACCATCATAAATACAAACTAGTTGCAAGCATCCGAATTTTGACCACATGACCATGACGATGCTGCAGTGGTTGTAAGTGTAGAAAAATAGTCATAAATCACTTTGTTCAGTGTCATTGTAAGTTTTAATGGATACTAAATGAACTGAATGAATAAGTCGAGGACTACCTGTATTTCATTAACCATTTCCAAAGTGCCATATCCCCATTGGGGCCCTAGGCTAGTTGGCACAGCTATGTTTTCAGGGCCTTTTGGAAGATCAAAAGGGTGGGTGCAGATCTCATCTCTGAGGACATGATATTTCAGAGGGTGGGGCCCACAGAAGACAAGGCTCTTCTTCTGGACCCCACCAGCTGAAATGCCTTGGCTGACGGGGTCCATAGCATGCCTCTTCTGCTGGTGAAGGTGGAAGAGTCTAATCCCATTGGGATGAGCTGGCTTCTCAGATAACCTGGATCCATGCCATGGAGGGCTTTAAAGGTGATAGCCAACACCTTGAATTGGGTCCAAAAGCAAACTGGCAGCTAGGGCAGCTTGTGGAACAGTGGTGTAATATGGGCCACCGTAGGACCTGAAGAATTGTCTGTGCAGCTGCATTCTGCACCAGCTGAAGTTTCTGGATACTCTTCAAGATTAACCCCATGTAGAGCACATTGCATTAGTCCCAGCCTGAAATGATCAGGGTTTGAATAACAGCACAGGGATTTCCAATCCAGGAAAGGGCACAACAAGTTGTACAAAGGCTCTCCTAGGCACAGCTGCCACCTGCTCATTGAGCAGGCGTTGCAAGTGCATGAGATCCCCCAGATTCCTCCTAGGATGGAAATGTAAACTTGAGTATCACCAGCATACTGACAGCACTTCATCCCATGGGGCTTCATGTAGGTGTTCAGAAGGAGTAGGAGAGTGTTGTGCCCTGCTGCACACAACAAAGGGGCATTTGTCGACTGGACCTCTCACTCTCTATTAGTATTGATTGGTACTGGTGTTGGAGAAGAGAGCCAAAACAGTGCAAGACGGTTGCCCAACCCCAAACCTTGCAGTTGACTCAAAAGGATACTATGGTCAATGGTATCAAAGCTACTGAAAGGTCAAGGAGAGTAAGGATGGATGCACTACTCTCATCTCACTTCCACTAGAGATTGTCTGCAAGTGTGACCAATGCTGTTTCTGTCCCATAACTGGGCGTGAAATCTGGTTAAAAAGGGAAAGATGGGAGACTATATAGAACCTGTCCAGACAGAAGGGGTAAACAGATTTTTTTTAAGGAGGGGGAAAAAAATCCTGAAAATGTCTCCTCCTGCAGTGAAGAATTGATCACTGCCTGAACTCACCTGATTGTCACTGTCCTGGAGGCTTTCACCAACCAGGAAGAACAAGGATATAATTGACAGGTGGTTGCACTGATAGTACTGAAGACTCTTCCCTTCATCAGGTCCAATAGGACCAAACTGTTCCCAGTAACCGGGTAGGAGTTTTCTCCAGGCATCTCACATGGACCTGCACTACCCATGGGTTCCAACTGGGAACAAATCTGAGCTACTCTGTAAGGTGTTCCACAGCTACATGGTTCTGAAGAGAAACTGAGTGATCCTGAACAGGGCCATCAGGTGACCTTCTGTAAGCAATCAAAGTGGAGAAATAATGGTGTTTCACTGCTCTTATTGCCACAAGGTAGGCCTTAATAGTAGCTCTAAGCCAGGAGTGTCAAACTCGATTTCATTGAGGGCCGCATCAGCATTGTGGTTGCCCTTGGGTGTGGTTGGGTGTGGCCTACTGGGTGGGCATGAATGGAGTGGGTGTGGCCTACTGCATGGGCATGGCCAGCTCTACATCATTCGCGTCAAGGGTGCCTGTGGGGGCCTGGGCAGGAGTGGGACAGGTCTGAAGGTCTCTGGCAGAAAGGGGGGGGGACCAGGGCAGAGTCCATCAAGCCGGATATGTGAAGTAGGTGAGGACCACTTGCTGGCCACTTCCAGGCGATGGTGCATTTCTTCATTCCTCACAAAGGGTGATACCTCCCTAGCATGCACCCAGGGGGTGGGGCCGACACAGCATTTCCAGATGGTCTTGTGGAGCTAAGACTGAATGCCTTTCAGCATAGATGGCCACCACAAAATTGTAAATTGGCTCCTGGCCAGCCTGGGCCAGGGCCAAGGCAGCAGGGGCCGTTCCCTCACTGTTTCCAGGATGGCTTTGCAGGCCACATGAAACTACTTCATGGGCCGCATCCGGCCCCCGGGCCTTGTGTTTCACATGTCTGCTCTAAGCCATGTCCAATCAGTTTCATCCCTCGTTTTCCTCCAGTGATGTTCTAAGCAGTGTCTCTCAGTCCTTTTGAGAACCCGCAGCTTCTCTGAAAACCAGAGGGATTATTGGGAGCAATGAGTCATGAAAAGCTGCACAGCTTGAT